CATACATTTAAACCATTGTTTCAATTTTGGAATTTGCTATAGAGGTCGAAAAGACCTCAATTTTATTTTATTTAATACTTTAAATTCTATCAAAGCAGACGTATTCGCGAAGGAAACCTAATTCTATTAAATCTACATAGATTTATATATAGAATAGATTTATACATATTTTATTAAATCTATACAGATGTATATATAGAATAGATTTATACATATTTTATTAAATCTATATAGATTTATATATAGAATAGATTTATACATATTGTATTAAATCTATATAGATTTATATACAAAATTATGAATAACGTATTTTGGCGCTTGAAACACAGCACTTATAAGACAGATACATAAAATATGCTTCATAATACGGAATCATCAAAACTATGATAAAATATTTTACCTACAACTTTTTACGACCAGTCTCAACAACCTTTATGTACCTAGATATATTTATAGAATAGAGATAGAATCTATCTATATACTAACCTAATATAAAAACTGAAGAGATTGTTTGTCTTTTTGTCCGCGCTAATATCCGAAATTACTACGGGATCGAACCCGAGACCCCTTGCCCAGCAGGCTTAAACTTTAATAATATGTTACTTATAATTTTAACGATATAGTATTTTTATTGTTTAAGATAAATTGCAGCGCCCATACAGGGTCAAGTTGATACTGCTGAAGCAATACAGATTTGTAATTTGAATTTGAATAATTATTTTTATGCTATATAGTGGATAACGTCCATCGGGAGTTACACCTTATTTTTTAAGGGGAAAATCATCGAATGACTTCTCCCGCTCGGGTGAGGCGAGAGGGAGTGTCAGACTCTTACTGACTAAAAACCACCCCGTTCCATCGAGAGTTACACATGCCAACAAACTGCCATTCAGTTCGGCAGAAAGTAACTTGTATATTGATAACAATATAACAAAGAAGGTATATAAATACCTATATAATTTTGACTGCACGGTTGGCGCGGTGACTGGGCAACTGGCTGCCGCGCAACGTGTCGCGGGTTCGATTTCCACACGGAATAACTCTTTGTGTGATCCACAGATTGTTTTTTCGGGACTAGGTGTCATGTGTATGTGAAATTTTATGTTTGACATGTTATGATGACACAGGAGAAAATCGCAGTGTGGAGCAACGTTTTAAAAAAAGAATAAATTTCATTTCATTTTCATCTCATATTTGTATAAAAACAAAATCGCTATCCGCCGTCTGCCTGTCCCTATGTATGCTTAGATCTTTGAAACTACGCAACGGATTTAGATGCGGTTTTTTTAATAGACTGAATGACTCTTGAGGAAGATTTATATATTATATAATAATTACATGCATATTGCAACCATGCGAAGCCGGGGTGGATCGCTAGTATGCTATAAAATTTCACGCTACGATTAAAAGGAGCGGGTAAAACGGCGCGGCAGTAGCTAGTGTTGATATAAACACACAAAATATATCAAAATTCCATTTATAGTAGTAAATGTCTACGAACAGATAAATTGACTTGAGAGTGGCCGTTAGAAGGTATATAGAAAGAAAAGTAAGATATTGATTAAGATAAGATATACATATCTTGAATACGAAATTAATTTTGTCTCGATAACAATCTATCAGTCATTAAGAAAAGTATTTTATGTTAGTATGTTAGTTAATGAAAGCCTAAGATGGAAAACTAGTTGTAATAGTATCTGGTACAGTCTGCTTGAAAAAGAAGTTAAAGTCTATGATGATTTGACCAGTTAGAAAATATCTCGTGATAATTTTAATATGATAGATTTTAAATTCTCATTTTTTCTACTCGGCTTTTTTATCATCCTTATTTTTTTTTATGTCCGCTCTAGTTTTATATTAAGGCCTCCAAATACCTTAAAACGTAATCTAAAAATACTATTGTATTACAATAATGAACAAAAATGTTTTAATATTTTAAAAATATGTTGTTACCTTCTCATCGTTCCAGTAGATTACGAGATTTTGATTTGATCTACAAAACAAATTTTTAAAATTCGGTTTATTATATAATATACGGTTATTAAATATTTGGTTTTATAAATCGTAATAGAAACCATGCCTGCTTGGCATGTTATAAAAAAAAACCTATGAAAACAGTTCTAGAATATACGTACGCGTATCGGCAAAGGTATAAAGACTTTTTTTTGTTTCTGACTGTATTATCAATCCAATAATTATTTACGGTTTTATCTTTACGGATGCTGCTTTATATTTATTACCTTTAATTAAAACGGTTTCTTTTCATAAGTATATTTAGATAAAAGAACCATATCGTGTCACTGTTCTTTAATTCTGATACTATCGCTTTCGTGAATAATAATCGAGTAGTTTCATAATTTTATGCATCAAACATTTGTTTGCAAAATCGATTCTAGTCAGAATATAAAATACTAGCGGCCCGTCCCGGCTTCGCACGGGGGGACTTAAGATTTTTTACATAGTTTTACGTTTTATTTATATTTATTCTCAGTTTTTTTTTAGCGACTTGCCCTCCGTTGTCGATGTCGCGTCTTAAGGTAACCGATTGAACAATTCAAAAATTATCTAGAGCAAACTTTTATAAGGATTGAACCATTCATTAAAACGATTGTTATGGGTAAACTATAAAAGGTAGACATATGCTCTCGCGGACTTTTTTAAAAATAATGTTAAGATGAACAATTCTTCTATAGAGCATTTTTGTATAACTTTAACTATATGCTCAGCGCACGCCACGGAAGGCCTCAGAAACGATACTTTTCCCCCGTTTTTAAAACATTTTTGGTTACTGCTCCACAACTATAGGACCTAGCGTGATATTATATAGCCTATGTTACTTCTGAATAATGCAGCTTTCTAATGGTGAAAAAATCATTGCAATCGGTCTAGTAGTTTTTGAGTTTATTCATTACAAAAATACAAAAATACAAAAATACAAATCTTTCCTCTTTATAATATTAGTATAGACAATAAATAAACTTCTTTATTCAAAACAAAGCCAAACTGTAATCTATCAGTCTAATTTCTGACATTCTAAAATTAAAAAAATATGTAAATACATTTTTATTTTAGTAGCTTAAAATAAATTATGCAAAGGTGGTAATTAAGACAGATATTATAAGTTGGGTAATTTCGAATGTAAATAATATTATGATCTTTCACGACATTTATTTTTAGCTCTTCAACTTGAAATTGTACTTATATCGTGCGATCTTTGCCTTTTACAAACAATTTGTAGAGACAGAACTATACTTAAGCTTGACTTAAAATTTAATGGCGTTTGAGTATCTGAACATAAGCAATAAAAAAAATACCAAACCAAAACGACTGTTAGACTACCCTTTTTTTTAAGGGGGGAAAATCATCCAATGACTTCTCCCGCCTGGGTGAGGCGGAAGAGAGTGTCAGACTCTTACTGACAACCACCCCGTACTTACCTACTCCTGCACTTCGACCCGCAGCCCCGGTAACCCGTAAGGTTCTCCGCGGCTAGTTTAAGGCCTAACGTTTGTTTTTCACAGATGACTCATCAGATTCATTTATGTTTTCCTTATGTCAAACTTGATATTTTATGTATTTATACTTTTAGCTTCTGCCAGCGGCTTCGCCCGCGTCCTCCGGGGTATAAAGTAACATATGTATTAGTCCGGACCATAATCTAATCTATCTAAACCTCTGTTCCAAAAATCCCGGTCTTTCAAAAGTATTGATATGACTAAGTAACAAACATGCACACAAACACACTAATTTTCGGATTTATAATAGCGGTTCAAGCTAATTTCGACGGTCAGCCGTTACAGTTACAGCGTAAGATCCACTGGCGGGCAATCTAACATTTAACAAACTTTATTTGCATTTGGTACAGTAATTATGTCTTCACCCAGGCGAGAGAAGCCATTCGACGATTTTCCCCCCTTTAAAAAAAAGATCGATCGATCGAACCGGCGGCACAAGTAAGTTTTGTTTTTGGTGGATATTTTGTATATATACCTATTTTGTCGGGATAAAAAGTGTGATATTAGACCCATGCCCATAACATTAAAGTATATTCATCGAACCCGTGGTTTTACGGAAGCTTAAACAATGCAGTAACTTCTTCTTGTTTTCCCAACTTTCCCTTCACTGGTCTGCTCCTAGTGATTGTAGTGTGATTGAGCCTCTAGCATGGCTTGAAACTAGTCGAGTTCCTCGTCAAATTATTACGCGAGTGAGACGAAAACATAATAATTTATTTAGTATGTCTCACGAAAGTTCCAATACAAATATAGTAAACCCTGATAGTTATTTGGAAATATATTTCATGGACAGTTTTGACCTCTTTACAGTATATATTATGTAGATATATAGGTATACTTAGATACAAAGTTGAGACTTTCTAATTAGTGCGTTATATTAAGTGGCCAACTTAAAAATTCAATTACGTAAACATTTTCAAATCGTTACCAAATGTTTGTAAAAAAAACATTTAGATAAACAATATGGTGAATTTATACTTTTAGCTAACTATAAATATTTTAAAGCTTTGACTGATGACAAAATTTTAAAATAAAAAAAAGAAGATGAAAAAAAATCTCTGCTATGGCTGGTCACCGGTGTACCCATGACGTTTATATAACGGGTATGGTCAAAATAATCTATACATATGTATAATAATGAAATCATATAATATAATAAAATCGTAGGAAAGTGAAAACTGCACATTTAATATTATTTTTTTTTAAATAATGTTTGGGTAGTGTTCTACAAGTGGTACCGAAGCGAAAGAATTTTTGTCTGTTTGTCTGTATGTATGTTCGGGCTGAACTCAAAAAGTACTGCATGGATTTACTTCAAATTTTGCATGAATATTACTAACAGGTCGGGTCAACATACAGCCTACATAATTACGCTATCACCTACGGGGCAGGAGCTGTGAATCACTATTCCACGCGGACGAAGTCGTGGACACAGCTAGTATTTATATAATCACGTTATCTCTGATGCTAAGTTATCCAACCTTTTTTTTAAGAACCAATAATCTTATTTAATTTAATTACGTAATATGTTGTCTCCTTAGTGACATTAATAATCAGTCATATTCGTAAATATTAAACATTCTACACTTTCCTTTTATTATGAATGGCGTTAAAGACGTCATTTGTTGATTATATTTAATAATGGTTCCAGTATATTTAGTTCTGTGTCTTTTACCTACGAATAACAATGTGCAATCAAAAAACATCCTTGTAACTAGTAAAATAAGTACCTACTATACAAGTTGGTACCTATATATATTTTAATTTCCCAATCTACATTGACTTGTGTTATGTCCTATTTAGGTAGCATTGTCAGTTTTTGACCTTATTTGCAAGAAAACAAGGTTTTGAATCAGGAACAATAGATAACATTTTTCGATTTGAACTCCGTCATCGGGACTATTCGTATTTTGTGTCATAATTACGTAGATCCGTCATAAAAAACATCATTTTTGAAGGTCCACTGCTGGATATAGTTTCTTTGGCGAATCATATAGAAATTGTGTTCCAGTTGAACTACTTAACTGACTATCTGCTCTTAGTTGTGTAATGAATCTCTTATACCAGCACGGTGCATATTTTCTAATTTTAAGTACCTGTACTTATCAATAAATTCCAAGTTAAAAAAGTTCAAGAATCAATTGTATTGTGAAACTGATTGGAAAAGAGTAACCTATGGAGTTTCTTGCTCGTTCTTCTCCATAGGAATCTACACCTTGGAATGAGCAAATAGCTTCAGTTTTAAATTTCTATTGCTGACGTTCATAAGTGCGTTCCTGGTCTAATTGAAATGATTTTTGACTTTGACTTTGACTTAACTTTGTCTTTGACTTGAATTTGATGGTTGGAGTGATCAACTTCAATCGAGACCTCAATAGTTTGAAAACCAACCTATGCAAATGAGGCAAGCAGTTATATAGTCAATGTTATTAATTATCCTTACTAATATTATAAATGCGTAAGTGTGTTTGTTTATTGTTCTATCACGTCGCAATGAAGCGTTTCTATGGTTTCATTTATGTTAAAAAAATGTAGGGTACTTTTTAATACGTCGAAGTTAGCAAACAGAGGCCTTAGTACAAGTTCGTTTTATGTTTAAAGTAATCGTACCGAGTACGCATTCGGCGCTTTGATTGGTTGCTTCATTGGCGCCGGCCAATCAGAGTGCCGAACGCGTACTCGTTTCGAATAGGTACTTTAAACGAAAAAACAACCCGTACTAAGGCCTCGGATAAGAAGTACGCTATATTTTTACCTTTATTGATCTTAGGAACGACTTCGGGCCTCGTATCCGCGGCATTGACAGTTCTGTCATTCGAATGCACCGTCACCTGTGCTTCTAGCACGGCAGGATCCAGTTTGACAGCTTCTAGAGCGTCTGCGGACAAAACACCTTGAATCTATAATTTTGTAAGGAAGAAACCGATGAAATAATGCAATATTTAATGCTTTCTCAAGCCATGTTAGAAATAACCTCGAGTTTGGAGACTTAATTAAGTATAGATAGGATAACTTAGAGATAATTTATGCTGCAGCAGTTAATAAGAAGGTCATTTTGTAACCATGAATTAAAATAAAAGAATACTGGTCGAAGAACTTGCCTTGTTTACTGCGTCGGTTGCCGAGCGAACCGCCATTTCCATCGAACAAACCCTGGAAAATTAAAATTACACAACAGCTAAAGTAAACCAGAAAAGGTTAATGTAAAATAAACTTCAAATGTCGGAATGATTCTTTCCTGATTAACTTGGAAACTTATAAACCTTATAACCTAAAACTTGGGCAAGTTATTATAAAAATTATTCTGCCATTTATATTGTTTCTTAAATAACTATTAAACTATTTTTTGTAGATATAGTTATATCTACATATGTAGTTACAAAACGTACGTAATTTAATGGACCGTAAAATAATGTGTAGTGTATTATAATTAGGTACCTTACCTTTAGAAAACTAAAAGGTGAGTTGCAAGAACGGGAAGGAACTAATGATTTTATTTCCATTATTTGACCGGTAATTTAAAATGTATACACTTTACGTAAGTAAATTAAATATGATGCAAAATCCAAGATAACTATGATTTACGTTAAAAGCAGCAACTTGACAGCAGTCATTCACACCACAGTATTAGTATAGTAACGGTTTAGTGTAATTAACTTCATAAGTATAACATTATAATTTATTTTTTGCATTGAAGGGTACTCATGCAATCTATGCTAATGTTGCCAGTTTTCTCATTTTTTATTCAGATAACACTGACTAGAAGGAAAACAATACCATTTATTAGGTAAAAATTACAATTCCTCATAGGTATTATGAACTTTTTAAATGGTGTTTACTCGAAGCATTTAAACTTGTCGTGACTCTAGTCATGTAGAATAATTAAACAAAGTTATAAAATAGAATAGACATCTTGAATACCTAGGTTTAATTTACGACATTAGTAAGTGAAGTGCAAATATGGCATTTATTTTATTTCATTTCATAGCCTTGCTTTCTGGTCTTAACCATAATACGTTAGACCTAAACTTTCCTCAGGAACCACACCACTTAATAGTGAACATTATACAAAAATGCGTCAAGTAGTTTTTGACTTTATCGCGCTCATACAAACATATAGAAGACGACATAGAAACATATTGTAAGGGGGCTTCTTATAATAAGGATTAAAATTAAATGATCAGCAAGACCAACAAACAGGTTGTATATAAAGCAATTAGCTGTGGTTATGAGTCGAGTCTGTTTTAGAAAAATAAATAACAGGTATTTGCATCGGTAACTACAACGGCCTTGTGGAATATCTGGTCTGACAAGTCAACACGTCGTTGTTACGCTAAATTTAATTCTAAAATGGATTCAACCGACCACAAAGGTCTTTGGAGGCTCGACGTATCTTAATGTGGTTATTTTTATACTAATTATAACTACTTCATTTTAGTATTTCCCATTAGGGTACTAATTTATTAATTCCTACGACACGACTTAAAAATATAAGTATAGATTATAGACAAAGTATTACTGGGTTTTTAAAAAATTCTCAGTAATCTGGAATTGTGCCCGGTATATGGCAATAGGCTCACCCCCTATTACATGGACTCATAACATAAATAGTGAAAAGTGGGTGTTACATTGTACAGTGGCACAATGTGCACCTCTGCCTACCTCTTCGGGGATAAAAGGCGTTATGTTATGTTATGTTATGTTATAGATAGACTAACATTGCAGGCAGCATGCTTCGTCTACTCACCCATTGTATGCTATTGACACAACACTATCAACCATCACATCACTAAATTACAATTTCAATGCACATATTCCACACTACACAGGCACGTCAACATAATCCCAAAATGTCCCTTCAGTAAATTTTCGACTTTATAGCACAATGATTTAGTTTAAAATCCGTTAATGAGGTAGGTTTATATGCATCCTGTCGTTTTGTACGTGATGTGTTCATGACGCAGCTCGCGTGGCTTGGCTCATGATATAACTCCGGTTCTTTTTATTGCACCTACGTTTTCTATGACCGATAAGAACGTACGAACTTGGTACGTATGTAGGTACATCTGGCGTTACGTTACATTATCGAAGTAGTAGTAAATACGTACTTGTAACGTGTATTTGCGTAAATCTTGGGTTTGCTACTGCTATTGAAGATTTCTTTTCATTATTGTACTCTTTTCCTTATTGTTCATTTCTTTTTACAGACTGTTAAGTACATTTTTCTTAGATTGTACCTCTGGTTCGTTCTCCGTGCACCTATCTACATGTGCAATAGTTTCTTATTCTTAAATATATTTTCCAAGATTAAAAGCGATCGTAGAAGACCATTATGCTAACCTCATTGACGAGTTGTAAAAAACCAGGTGCATGAATATGATGGAAACTAAATCAGTATCAAAGGACAAGGACAGGTAGATGGCGCTGTGTAGTTTCTGTAAACTCCCATGTGGCAAAATATGTGAGTGAGCTTGTATTGTGTGCGAGTGCATCATGCACATATAGATGTAAGTACGTTCAAAAATCTTGTTGCCTAAGATATGGTTCAGATCTCGACCTCAATAATGAATTTTCAAAAAAATCTAGATAGTAAACCACGAGTGCATGTATAAACGTATGTACAACGTGCATAGATAGGTACTTATATATATACTTATACAAGTCTGTAGGTAACTAGGTACTATAGGCATATCTGCGCAGTTGGCTAGTCTAATTAATGGTTTCTAAGAAGACTTTGGAGACATTATCACCCATTACCCAAACAGTGGAACTTTTATTCAATTTGCAGAAGGCGTAATAACATTTCAGACGTCAATTTTGGTTTATTAAGCTAAAATTAGAACAATCATGTTCCTACGTATAAAATAAAATATATTCCAAAGGATGATTATTTATTTTTAAAATTAATTTCTTTTTTTCCTGTTTGTTATAAAAAAAGAAGAAGGTAAAGGAAAAGGAGTTTATATATCTTTTGAGGATTGAAGAATAATATGTGTGGGTCATCTGATAAATATGAAACATTCGATAAAACAGGAAGTCAAGTTCGTTTCCCATCTCCGAAAAAATATTCAATTTGTTCACTTTTTCAAAAATTCTCAGTATTGGCACAAATGTTAAGATTGTATTCACTTTATGATACTAGGTTTACCCCGTATTACATAAAATAAGTAGTACATATACTTAATGAAAAAAATAAATGTTTTTAACATTAAAAATAGGGCACTGACCAAGTGTCCGTGGATAATATTGAATATTGATAAAAATAATAATAAAAGTTCACTAATTGTTATTTTTCGGCGTACGTATTTACTCACATAACGGAATGCTGCTCATGACTATGAGCCTCTAGCATGGCTTGAAACTAGTCGAGTTCCTCGTCAAATAATTACGTGAGTAAGCTGAAAAACAAAATAATTACTTTAGTATGTCTTACGTAAGTTTTAATATAAACATTAAAGTGCACCTAATTGGTTAATTCTTAAAAAACTTATTATTATGTCCGTAAGAAAAAACACCCTAATATACACAGGAGGTACGTACAAATATAACTTAATTGAAAATTACATTATTTATAAAGTAATCCTTTATTCATTCGACTTTTAATATTTCATAAGTATGCCTAATGTAGATCGATGCCACTTCTGCCCTTGTATATGAATAATTAACGACGCAAGAGTGCTTTTCTGTGAAGTCAGAAGTTAATAGGATCATGACAAACACTTCCAGTATATACCTATTGTTACAAATTAATTATTTTAATTTTATTACCGTTTTTTGCTAGTTTCTGTTTAAATACACCTGGGAGTAAATAAATGGAGCCACTAGCGTTTTTTGTTTTCATTTTACCGAACCCTCTATAATATTTAAAAAAATATTTCTTTTACAACAAAATGCTCTCATTTTACAAGTAACAAAATTGTCTTTGGTTTTTTTTATAGCATAAGCCGGTAAACGAGCAGACGGCTTACCTGATGGTAAGCAATCGGCGCCGCCCATGGACACTCGAAACACTAGGGCGTTACAAGTGCGTTACCGGCATTTTGGGAATTGGCAGAGGTGCACATTACGGCACTTAATGCCATTGTACTTTTTACTATTTATGTTTTAAGTCCCATGTAATAGGGGGTGAGCCTATTGCCATATACCGGGCACAATTCCAGACTCCGTGTAACTACTGAGAATTTCTTAAAAAATCCAGTAATACCTTGCCCGATAGTCGCACTTGCGACCACTCGGCCAACGAGGTAGCCAGACTAACAAAGTCTTACTGAATATTTACATTTCAGCAGTCGACACGGACACCCGAAGTATCACACACATCATATCAACAGCCTAGCAACTGCAACTAGCATAGTACAAATTTTAAGCTCAGGTTTCCCCGCGGTGTTTTTATTCACCGTTGGTCAGTGGTGTCTAAATAATCTTAGAAAGTACATATAACTCGGAAAAGGTCAAATTGGTACTTGCCGTTGGTAGGTTTTGAATCTGCACCCTCGTGTCATGTACCTTCTCATGGAAGCAGGCGTCCTCAACCTCCGGGCCACCACGACACAGTTAAAAGCTTGCGCTGTAAGTGATGATGCGACCAACTATGGAGCGTGTCTGCCTATACATACATAGGTTAACCTTCAGGAAACTGGCGAAAGGCAGGTGTCATTAAATCTGACAATTAATAGAATCGACTCTGAAAGAAAATATAAACCAGCACACATCACACAAATCCTTCGACCTTGTAGATCTCATCGTCGATAATGCCTAAAGTAGAAAACACGTGAAATATTAAAAATATTAGTTTTATCAAGTGACGTAAACAAAGCTAAAACTTCAAGCAAGACTACGGACAGAATATTACAGAAGAATTGAACTGATATTAAAAGAAACTGACATCAAAAATGAACCAAATAAAAACATTCGACAGTTGCCCACTTCCTATCCCTTATCATCAACAGTGGTATATGTAGGTAAGCGTACAATGAATGTATGTATGTGTGTGTGAACACAAGGCCTTTTATACGCGATAAGAACACTTATTATAACACGTATCTCGTATTTCGAGTAGTACCTATCTATCTTTTTGTGCTAGATACATATTATGCTATTAGGGTAGGTCGCCTTGATAGGCCAAATGGATAACACAATATTATCACGACTGGTATTACCCGAAAGGTTAGGCAGTCATGTCAATATCTAACATACTTTTTAGTCGTGTGATAATATTGCCCAAGTACTTAATATAATATTTATTTATTTCTTCTTCACAAAACATAACAGTGAATGACTGACCTAATGCCTTAAGACATTCTCCTACAGTCAACCATAGGGAAGTGCAGAGAAATGAAGTGGTTGAAGCCAGAACACAATTCAAAAAATAAAATTGTTATGTAATATTATGTATACTACACACATAAATATCTACTATAGGTGAGACTAATGTTAGACCACCGTGATCATTGTTATATCAGCTTCAAGGCGACAAGACTTCTAACCTTCTCCAATAACTTCCAGTTTACGTGTTTAGACCCTACGTCAGCGTCATCATCAGCATCAACTTTATTGGTTTGCAAATAAAGTCAAAATTCCTTTGAAATAGCCAGTCAGTTTTTATAACTTGTGTGCGGTAAGTAAAATGTGTTCCACGTATTTGCTTCTGTTTGTGAGGAAACGCCTACAAAGGGATAGACCCTTTGAGGGATATTTCAAACGCATGTAGCGATTTAAGCAGATACTGGGCAAAAAATAACAGACAAGGAATCGTTCACAGTTGAGACCGGTTAATGAAACACGTGTATTCTGTTAGGACCTCTTGTTAAGCTCCCATTTAACTACCTAACAAATAAAGTAATCGAATGGTTTAATAGAGATATCTAAGATACACCAGGATCAAAGTCTTTTACATCAACACTAGGTGACCAGGCATACTTCGTACTGCCTATATTTAATTTTCTTACCTTTCAAACCTTCCCTGGTCTGCCACGAACATTTCAAGACTACACAAATCAGTTAAACCGTTCTCGAGTTTTATCGAGACTAATTTTTATAAAGATACTAG